GAGCACATCTCGGCTCGCGAAGTGGCCGTGGACCAGCAAAAGTGGTAGTTATTCCCCCGTAGTTAGACTGAGAGGGTGTAGCTCTCAATGAATGGGCTACACAAAGCTGCTACATTGACCTCGTGGGACGCTTGAGTAAAGTAGTCGTGTAGGGCTCTCTGGATAGATATGAAATTCATAGCAATTTAAAAAAAAACATTTCAGCAGAAAAAGTTTCTTGAAATTGCGTGGTGAAGATACCGGTATAGTCGAGATGAGAACATCGCGAAAGAGCCTGAGTACTGTATTCTATGTGCCGATCCCATTAAGTTTTATGCTGTAGGCGAGTGCAACCATCACGGTATCTGTAGCAAGTGCTCCATGCGCATGCGACTCATTATGGACGACCGCAACTGTCCCATGTGCAAGCAGCCACTTGACCGCGTGGTTGTCAGCAGCACTTCGCGTCCGTACGAGAGCTTTGAGCTCTGGGGCGACGCAGCAGGACCAGATTCCGTGCTGGACGAGCCCTCCGAGACGATCTACGTCGACTGCAAAGCGCACTACTACGAACTGCGCAGTCTGCGCGAGTTTAAGTGCAGGATGAAGCGCTGCCGAGAGCTGAAGCACTCGCTGGGCCAACTGAAGGAACATTTACGCCAAGATCACGGGGTGGAGTTCTGCGAGCTCTGCTTGAGTCACCAGTCGTTCTTTATTCAGGAACAGGAGGTGTTTACCAAGGGCGCATTGAAAGGACACAACATTGGACGTAGTCGAGGAGGTCCCACGGGTCAGAAACACGCCAACACAGGAAAGGATTTCCACCCAATGTGTCAGTTCTGTCGGAAACGATTTTACGGGGACAAGGAGCTGTACGAGCATCTGGAACGCGACCACTTTAAGTGCCACATCTGCAAGGTGGAGAACGAATACTTCCGCAACTAGTGAGTATTGTGATGTTTCCTGTGCTATGTCGCAACGATCCTAATGTCTAACAATTCGCTTTATGTTGCAGTGCAAGTCTGGAAACACATTTCCGTCGAGAACATCATTTGTGCGAGGACCGAAGATGGTACGCTCACGGTACTTCTGTTTCGATTAGTTCTATGCATATCGGTTCTGACGGGTGTACATTTGTCGCAGTCTTGAGATGCGCTTCGTTGTTTTCCCGAACGATGTCGAGTATCAAGCGCATATGAGCTCCATTCACGGCGTTCACAATCGTCTTCAGTTTAATTTTCAAGTCGCGCGTGGTGGCAGTAACCCTGTTAGTGGACCAATTACTCCAGGTTACGCCGACGAAGTGCCAGATCATTGGAACTACGGCGTCAGTGACCACCCGCCGTCACCTCCAGTGCGACTTGAGGAAGCCTTCCCGGCACTGCCAACACCTGCTGGACCAGCGCCAGCTCCAGTGTTGAGACCAGCTATTACTCGACCTTCAAGCGGCCACACACAGGGTCCGTCTCCAGCGAGACAGGTCCCCACTCCTCCTCGCGGTCAAATCGTGCGCAACCAGAGACTGGCACAAGCTCTTGGAGTGACTAGACCGGGACTTGCTAGGGGAGATACCGCTGCTTTCGAGGAAGAGATGAAGACTCCAAGCTACCCCGACGATTTGGTGGCCTGGGGTAAGGCGAACACAAGCTACCTCACTGTGGTTGAGCGTCGATTGGAACGTATTGTGCAGGAACCGTCTTGCCATAGCGTCAGTCTGCGAGTGATGTCGGGAGAAGAGGTGCGTTAAGTTAGCTTGCTTTGGAGGCTGTGTTGTGACTGGACGCTAATTCGCTGTTATTTTTTCTTCTTACAGCGAGCTCTGATGCACCAACTGGCTTCGTTTTACGGCGTCGTGTCGGAATCCTTCGGCGAGAAATCCGCATCGTCGAATTTTCGTTCTTGTAGCGCGACGAGGCGCGTGTGCCCTCAGTGACGCTGTCTGCGCACATCAGCAATCTCACCAGGCCGGGTACGAGCAGCCCAAGCTTTGAGTCGACTGAAGTTTCCTTCGAGCTGGCGTGTTAGCACGCCTTCCTCCAGCCCAACTGTGCCGGGGCTAAGCTAGAAACGCCCGTTTCCCTTTCAACGGGGGCTGGGAAACACATCGAAAACCCCTGTGGTTGCTCCAGTCGTTGCGGATGCCTGGAGTGACGAGGAAGATGAAGCTGCGACGGAGGAAGAGGGCACTGCTGACAGCGCCGACTCACAGGAGCACAGCGAGGAGACCGAGGAAAAGTCGTCACCAGAGCGACTTGTGGGTGCAGCGGGAAGCAGTGAATACCCCCACGACTCCGCCGAAACAGAGGCTCTCAAAGCGAAAGTTGCCGCGATCAAGTTAGACGAAGAGGAATGGGATTAGTAGGGCGTGTGCTTAAAGTTGTCACAAAACAAGAACCAATGGTATAACGTTAACTTCGTTCTGTTGAAGAGGTATGTACTACGTAGTACGTACTTCAGAGGTACTTAATAGAGCTTTTATCACTAACTGTTGCTCACACGATAAACGATGTAGCCGCTCGCCACGGAGATGACGCCAACTACCAGTAGCATTTTCAATAGACTGATAGCCACCGACACCGACGCGTGCCTGGTGTCCTTGTGCAGAGCCTGTTTGACCTTGTCCACGGCGACCCTAGCGTTGGTACCTTTGGCTATCTTCTCGAAAAAACCGCTGAGTTGGGTGGCTCCAGGAAACGCTCTCTCTTCCTCTGCGGTCATCTTCTTGATGTCTTTGAGGTAATGTTTCACGTTTTCAGCCGTTGTGAGGTCATAATTGTAGGTCTGTTTAGGTTTCTTGGTCAGCGAGGCGCGTTCAGCGCTGGCAAGACTGTTGCAACAAGCAGCGAGGATGAACGCCACCACGAGCAGGAAGCAACCGAGACGCATGAGGGACTGATTCCGCTTTGGAGGTAACGTGTCAAGTGAGCTCGGCCTGAGCAGTGTCGACTGGCCAATACGCCGGAGCTCGTCCGACGACGGAAGGGCGACATGAGGCTTTGACACACCGACACAAGCCAATCATTGGCAAAGGCGCTTCTAGGGTTTGTACATGGACGACGTGCACATCCTTTTCGCCAGTCTTACCGGCTGAAGTGAATCTTTATCTTTGGTGCCGACCAAACTTTGGCCATACGGTAAGCTGACAATCACGTACAGAAATGAAAGAGAAAAGGGAGTTTAAGTGCTGGGATTAAAAGAGTACGCTCTGCTACCGGTAAGAAGTTTTGCATTTGGAGGCCGTTCTTGACAAACAGATTGCTCAAGCCGTAAGAGGCGATGGCCCCTTTAATAGCGACGATGTCGGCGCTTGGCCTTCTTCTTCAGGTGTGTTGTCTTGGCGTCCCGAGGGTGTTTTAACTTCCGTTCGAATAGCTTGACCACCCTTTTACGACCAGCTTTCAAGGCGATTTCGGCAGCGTCCCGAATAATAGAAGCCCCTCGGCGTTCGTCGCACACGATCCAGTACAGCCATTCAACGACCGTTGCGTGTCCGTGTCGCTTAATTTCTCTGGATACGTTGTCTTGACCCACTTGGCAACATGACCGCAACTGGTGGCGGCAGTGAAGGCCCGTTGCATCTCGTCTTGACGGCGGAATTCCAAAAGCAAAAACTGCACCACATTTAGGTGACCTTGAGCTGCAGCTCCGCCAATCGCCGCCTTGCTGCAGCCTTAAAGTGTAGCCATTGCACGACCTCCAAATGTCCGTTCGTGCCATTGCCCTACTGAATACTACTTAAGTACGGGGTAGTGCAAATATCCACTGAAATTCGTTTTAACTTTATTTCCCCGGTAGAACAAAAGTTATCGCCACGGTTAATTCCTTAACGGACCGAAGAAATATCAAGGTCAAGATTCGACAGCATTATGAAAGTAATACAGTATGTCATATTAGTGACTACCGAGTCGTTCAGATGATATGTAACAGGATATCATATTTATCAGTGATCACTTAGTACGGGTTTAGCTTACACCATAGGCTGACTGTTTATGTTGCCCCAGCATTACAGGTATGTTGTTGTAATTTGGAACTGCACGGATTTCATTCTTGATTTCCACTTGGTCTGCGCTGGAGATGACGGCCAACGATTATGAGCTCTTTCGTCAATTCTTCCGGATAAGCATCGAGCATCGAACGCCCAACGCTACTTTGGGAACGGGGCACCCAGACTTTAGTGAACAGGGTATTTACCTGTACGATACTTCAAAGAGCTACTTGAGAGCTTCAGAATTCACGTTGTGAGAAAGTTCGGGTTTACCAGTATTTATTTTCATGATCGAGGCACCAAGCTTCTGAGCGATCTCGTCATCAAGAAAGATTACCCTCCAAACTAATTCGTGCGGATCCCGAGGCATTGCATAACAGGATTGTTACCTGACAAAGCTTTTTACGCAGCGTGGAAGATGCAGTGCGTAATCGGCTTCATGAATACCGACTATGATATTTTGCGCGTGGACAGATCCGACACGCGGGTAACAGATCTCGTCAAAGCGAATCATTTGAGTACATCACATCTGTCGTTGGCTCCAGCCTCCCCCCCCATGGCATTTTCACGGAGATAGTTGCAAGTGCAAATCGGGGACGAAGAGCGGCAAGAAGCTTAGTTCGGCGTCAAGACGCCGAACGCCAATCCACCATCTGAGAACAGAAGCGTGTGCTTCGCCAGCGGCACCGCGCTGGAAAAGAGCGCACCCGAAAATCACAACGAACTGCTAATCGGAACTTTGAGCGTAACGCAAATAGTATGTCTAGGGAGCAGTTCGAATGTCGGGAGGGGTGGCGCTTAGCTCGCCAAGCGCGTCGAGTCGAACGCATTGATCTGCATCAGGAAAACAAAAAACAGGAGTTACAAGTCTACCTCGAGCAAGAAATTCCCTCAACGGATGTCAAGAGGATCTACATGACAGAAATTCAAGATTCAGGGGTCGTTGAGGAGGTTCAACTGCAGACCATGCAGCTACAAAATGCCGTTCGTCTGAATCAAGCAATACCCTTTATTAGATAGACGTTAATACGAACGACGTACAAAACAAAAAAAAACTTTGTCGTAGAAGAAGAGGTATGCTGTTAATTTTTTTGACTGTAGTATTCTAACTTGGCTGTATTCAATGTCACTGGTGAAGTATCCTTTTGTGAATGCGCCGATCAAAATAAAATGCTGGGACGTCCTCGAAATACGACATCGGAGAGGTCGATGCCATCATCGTCTCAAAACTGCCCATGCTCGCTTCATTCCTGTCCATGCTCGCTTCATTACCGTCCATGCTCGCTTTGTTAAGGCCTGACACCGAGGCTTGGGGCGGCTTGCAAATGGAGGCTGGTGGCTTGTTCTCGTAGTCGAACTCGGTGCTCGCATACGACAACTTCTCATCAGAAGCGAAGCTCTTGGGATGCTTTTTTTCTTGTGTTTCTTGCCTTTCTTGTCTTTCTCAGACGATCTCTTCTTGTGTTTGCGATGCTTATTTCGATTCTTCGACTTAGACTTCCGTTGAAGTAGCCTCTAAACAGTTTGATTACCGTGACCTAGTCACTCCAGAATATTATAATGAGATTTAGGAGGTCCTGTTTAAGTCGGTATGACTGGCTTAAACTATACAGACACTAATGGCTGGTGTACAGCTATTGGTGGCTTCCTAATACTAATAAAGTACTCACTTCGTCTTTTGACGCCTACAAGTAACGTCTTCTTCCTCTCCCTACTTCTTCTCGACCTGCCATACGAG